GGGGGGGGGGGAGAGTGGGCAGAGGCGCATGGGATGAATGCTTGGTTGCTGTTTGTTGTGGTGCAGGTTGATCCGCTCAAGGATAGCGTGCCTGACTATGACGATGTCATCGAGCGCAAGATGGACTTCGGTAGGTGAAGGCAGTTTCTTAAGTGAAGTGACCTGACGTGCACTCACCTCACCCCCTATGTGTGATGGCGGTGCTCTGTCCTTTTTTTGATTCATTTATTCATCATCAGAGACGATAGCGCGCAAGTTGGGTGGCTTCCAGTACACGGGGCCCCGGCAGTTTCTGCACGACGTCCGACAGATCTACTACAACGTCCTCAAGTAAGCAGACACCCTACCCTGCCAGACAGACAGACAGGCAGGGAGGGAGGGAGGGAGAAAGACACCCACAGACACAGCCTCAACGGCGTGTGCTTCTCGGCTGCCAGGTACCACCACCATGTGCACGGTGCTGGCCAGCACAAGGCAGCCGCCTGTGTGGAGCTCGCCAAAAGCAACTCGGCTCTCTTTGAGAAACTCGCCAAGGTACACACACACACACACACACAGAGAGAGAGAGAGAGATGCACACAACCTCCCCATTCACTGCACACACACGGTCGGCTGGATGCTGTCTGTCTGTGTAACCTGCCTGCCTGCAGGATGTCCCGGGTGAGTTTGACGTCTTTAGCGGCGACTCGATCGACACGTCCGAGGACAAGCGTCAGGTGCAGGACAACTGCAGCGTCATCACAGCCAACGTCTTCCACATCCGGCAGCAGCAGAACCACCGCGTCACCTGGGACAAGATACTCAAGAACATCGCAAAGCGCGAGAAGGGCATCGAGACCTCACCCAAGGGCATGGACCTCAGCATGGCCGAGGCGCTCCTGGCCAACAAGCGGCCCCTGGAGGACACCTTCCCCTCACTCATGGGCGGTGAAGCCGATAGCAAGCGCATCAAGACTGACGGGGGGCTGGGGATGGAGATGGGTATTGGGATGGGGGCCGTGCTGCCGCCGGTCGTCAGCCCTGACGTGGTGGACGTGACGACGGAGGAGATCAAGTGGGCCATCACCACATACCAGAGCATCGGCGCCCAAGGCAAGACTGAGATAGACAATATCGTAAGACGGCAACACACACACAAGGAAGACACAAACAGGGAGGGAGGGAGGGAGGGACTTGCTTCGGTGTGTGGCTGCAACATGGTCAGGGAAAGGATTTCGCTACCCGGTTGTGTTTGGACTCCATCGAGGAGATCGAGTTTGCCGCGGCCCCTGACAAGCGGGCCTTCTTCGACGCCGTCAAGGATGTGGCTGCTCCCCTCGGCCAGCGCCCCCCCGAGCGCATCCCACCCCCGCCAGCCGAGGAGGCCGGCCCTTCTGGTGGCCCTTCTGGCGCTGCTTCTGTAGTTGCGGCTTCTGCTGCCGCTACTGTCGGTGTTGGTCCTCGGGATCAGTCAGCAGCTGATCGTCAGGCACGGGAGACGCAGGCTGCCGTGGACAGGGAGCTCCTGGGGGCGATTGCCATCCCGAGGCCAGACGTGGCGGTATGAAATGAGCAAGGGGGAGGGTTGGGGGAGGGATAGCATTGACTACTTAAACAAACGTGTGTGTGCAGAGGATGCCCCAGTACTCGTCGTCCTCAGGCTCATCGTCAGGCAGCTCGTCAGAGAAGGGTAAGGACGCATAGCGTACAGAGGGCGATCGATGGATGATACATTCATGTGTCCCGTGTGCTGTGCGTGTCTGCAGCCGACTCAGACGATGACGAGAAGAATGCCGCCGGCAGGGATGCCGGCAAAGGCCAGGACATGGGCGATGATGATGATGACGATGACGACGACATCCTCAAGCCTGCAGCTGCAGCAGCATCAGCGGCGGCGGTAGCTGACGGCCCCGCTGCCTCTGGCACCGAGACGCGCATGGACACCGAGCAGCTCGATGCCGCCCCCTCAAAGCCCCTTCTCAATGGCGTCGACGAAGACGACCACATGGCGGCCGGAGAGGGAGATGACGCTCATGGTGAGGCCAAGACCAATGGCGTGGAGGACGTCAAGATGGCGGCTGAGAGGGAGAGGGCAGATGACGATGTGGACATGGCGGCCGGTGAGGGCGCCAGTGCCGCCGCGATCATAGCCAACACCAAGGGAGCTGCGGCGGCGGCGGAGAGCACCCAACACGACGAGATGCTGCAATTCGATGACGACGAGTGACAAAATGAATGACCAGACCAATGGGGATGAATGAGATGACGGAATCAATAGCATGAAGCCAAGGAAAGGATCCATATGGATCCGCCAAGTCCGACGGCCGCTGCCGGCCGTGTAGACGTACTGATTGTACGTGGGATGGATGCGTGGACGCCCGGATGGATGGATGGGTGGGTGGGTGGAGAGATGGTGGACGGAGGCAGGCAGGCATTTTTAACGGAGGATGGCTGGCTGGTTGCAGAGAGACACATCAGTCACATCACATGACATCACATCACATCACATCACATCACGGCGGCGCAGTGGTTTGGTGCATTCTTCTTCATTCTTGGCGTGAGCGGCTGGCTGGCTGCATACATACTCATTTCATCGGTGTGTGGTGTGGTGGTGTGTGTGTAGTATACGTCGCCCGTATGTATGTGTGTAGCCTGCAACGCCGAGGAGATGATGGGGCGAGTGTGTGAGAGATTGATTGCCTGAGAGAGAGAGTGCGGAGTTTTCATCTGGTTGTTTCTTTTTGACTGATCGACTGCTGACGGCATGGATCCACACATCGATGGTGGCATGACTGACTGGATGGATGGATGGATGACGGTGAAGGACACGGAAGGACACGAGCCATCATCGCAACTTAATGGTTAACGCTCATCAACACGTACGGAGAGATTGGTCGATTGACTGATGTCTAGACAGACGTGGGTGGAGTTGTTTATGCATACGCACATACACACAGATACAGACAGTCAGACAGTCAGACAGACAGGCACCAACCAACGGCCGTGACACACACACCCCACAGAAAGGGCACGCTCACACCATCCTACCACACCACACCGCACACCATCCAGCCAGACATCAGGCCATCCATCCATCCAGACGAACAGACACTTCTGTGTGTGGCGACAAAAAAAGGGCGAATCTTCCATCCATTTTAGGCAACCATGCATTCATTATACAGAGACGTATATACTTACACACACACACACACACGCGTGTGAGACAAGGCCATCCATCAGTCATCGGCCGCCAGCGATATATGCTTTGTTACCCAGCCACCCACCCTGTACACACATCGACCCGTGTCGAGAACCGGATACCGTCCGTTCAAGCGCTCTCTGCTCCTCTGTGCCGCTCTCTTTCTCTCTCAGCTTAATCAATAGGTTAACCAATCTGACTGTGTCGGTCCGTGTGACGGCTGTGTGTGTTCTGTCGTGTTGCCCCGTCATGGCGAACGGCACCGGGAGTCAGGGGGACGACCCGACCACCCATGGTGACGTTCCCAACTTCAGAGGGACACGACAGCCCACACGTCACGTCACATCCTATTCACAGCAGTTTCCCCCGCTTCTATCTTGGTTCCGTCCGTGTCGATCGACGACTGTCCTCTCGCTGAATGCTCATCCCGACGCTGTGCACGACGCCCTCGCCAGTCGTACAGAACCAACGAGAGCACCCTGCACATTCTCAAGGACAAGCATCCAGCGTGAAGACTGTCCACACACCACCAAATGCAGGTCTTGCCCCTCCCTCCCCTCCTCCCGGTTCATCGCAGCCAGTTGGTTGACTCACTCACTCACTCACTCTACCTCTCAGTCTCTCTGCCTGCCCGTCTGTCTGTCTGTCTGTCTGCCTGCCAGTAAGCGGACCCAGCCTCTCTTCACTCACACCAAGCTCACAGAGGTAGGCATATCGGTGACATACATTGATGATAGATGGGCGATGTCTTAGGTCTTACCCACGTGGTGTCAGACTACTCACACACACACACACACACGGACCGCCCCACCCCACCCCAGCCCTCAGCCAGCCAGTCAGCCACCCAGAAAGAAAGACAGACAGACAGCCACCCTCTCGCTCCCGCGCCTCACCACCCCAGGAGCAAGGAAGACGGGCGGATGGTACACAGCTGTGTACTGTACCTGTGGTGAAGCGTGTGTGTGTGTGTGTGTGGATACGAATGGAAAAACGGAACAACGAGGGAGGGTGTGGTGTGTCATCATGCGGGGTTGAAATCCATCCATCCCTCCAGGCCATGCAGGTAGGTAGGTATGCATCAGAGGCGTCGGAGATTCTTTGACTCCCAAGCTTGCAGCAATTGCAGACATCTTTGGCAGGCAAGGCAAGGAGAATGGGAAAGAACAAGAGAGAAGGGGGGATGGAGGCAGTGAGGGAGAGAGGGAGGAGTGAGAGTGGTCTTCATGGGCAGAAAAGACGGACGGAAAGCAAGCCACACATCACTCACTCACTCACCCTTGCCCTCTCTCGGTCCTTCCTTGAAATGTGCCGACCGAAACACGCAGCCACGCACACCCCCGCCAAGCCTTCCGTCCAGCCCATCTACCTTACCACCCCATCTACGCAATCGGCCAATCGAATCGACCAAACAGGTCACGACGTATGTCGTCTGTCCATCCACCCCGCCCCCTCTCGCCCCACATCCACCCCAAGCCCCCCCTCCACCGGCGCCTCATCCTCCGTCTTGACCACAGGCGCCTCCGCAAGACCCGCTAGCGCCTCAGCCAGGTCCTCCAGGTCATAGTCGGCTGATGTCTTGGGCATTTTGCTGGGCGGCTCGTCGCTCCCGGGCGGCGAGGTGACGTTGATGGTGGGTGCGGGTGCTGAGGCCTTTGCTTCGGGTGATGAGTCAAGGTCCATGAGAGCGTCGAAGCGCGTCTTGATGTCGCCTGCTGGGAGGGTGGCGGCGGCGGCGGTGGCCATAACCTCCTGCTTGCGCTTCTGCCGGACCATCTGACGCTCCTGACGCACCTCACGCTCAGTGTCCTGCACACGAGAGAGAGGGACACACACAGCGCAGCGGTCAGGGCGCGTGTGTGTCACATCACCATCAGATGCTGTCTAGTGCTGACCGACCTCCAGGTAGCGCAGGAGACTGAGGTCGTCCTCAATGTCCCGTGTGTCGAGCTTCTCCATCTCATTCACGTCCAGTCGCTCCGGGTTCTGAGCCACACCACGCCGGCCGCGGCCACCACGCGCTCTCCCCCGCCCTCTAGCCGGCAAAGTGGGCGATGTGATCGTCCCCCGGCTGCCACGCCTTCCCCGCCCGCACCCTCTGCCGGGTCTCCTCACCGTGTAGAGCTCGTCATACTCTCGCTCCAGTGCGTCTGCGTCGGCCGCCGAGCGGCTGAAGTGAATGCCGCTGGGGCGGTCTCTGCGCACTTGCACTTGGTTGGGGGGGTTGCGGGTGAAGACGGCCAGGGGTCTGGGAGTGTTGGCTTGGTGGGCCGACAGCACCAGGTCGACCCAGCTTTTGAAGGCCTCCTCGCCTGGCCCGCCTGGCATGTCCAAGTCGGTGTCCCGCCGCGACTCGAAACCCCCGCGGCTGGCCCGGACGCTGGAGCCGCGGGAGGGCACATTGCTCCACTCTCCGGCCAGGTCTCGATCTCGCCCTCGCCCCTCCAGCACGAAGTCCTCGTCCGTGTCCTTGCTAGGGTACCGCTGATGGCTCTTGCTGCTGCGCTGCTCCTCCAACCTGATGATGCGGCGCATCTTGCTCGCCACCCTCAGACCGTTGGCACTCCGCGTGACCCGCTTCTCCACCACACCAGCTGGTGGCGGGGACAGGTACTTGCCCCTGCCCGCCGGGCTGTCGTCGTGGTCGTGAGATCTGTTGGTGCGCTTCCGGTGCCGGTGGCGTGTGGGAGGGGAGAGGGAGCGGGAAGACGCCGACGCCGAGTCGCGAAGAAGCGACCTGTCTGAGAGGGAGAAGCTGTCGTAGGGGTCGTGGAGGTTGCAGAAAGCGGGGTGGCGCGTGTAGAGGTGGCGGGAGGGGGGCAGGGGGCCGCATGCGTACAGGCCATAGGGGTCCACCTGGGATGCCGGCAACGGTTGCCTAAGGGAGACCAGGCAGCGGGCACAAAGAACAGTCAGTAAGGAGGGGGCGGGGCGTCTGTGTGCACTGCATGTGGTGGTGCATTGCTGGTCTACCCGATGGCTGTGTATGGCGTTTGTTGCGGGAGCTTCTCTTGGGTGGCCTTTGCGAGGATAGAGGGGATGACAAGGGGCCTGACAAACAAACACCAAGCGAGCGACAAATGCGACTGAGTCGTCGGACGGTGTCATTATCTATCTGTATGTCCGTCTGGTACCTCTTGCTGGCCTTCTGTTGGGCTGTGTTCTGTATGCCCTTCACCGTCTTGTCCAGGACCTCACGAACCGGCGCAGCATTGACCCCCGACGATGCCGAGGAGCCCCACAACCTGACACAAATCGCACAGAGAGACAACCACAGGTGAGGTGGTGACCTGCCTGCCTGTTCTTCGTTCCAATTGCCCTCTGCCCTCCTCTGCCCTCACCGTTCCATCTCGGTGTAGAGGCCCTGCGCATGCTTCCACCGCCACTGGCTGCCCACCGGCCCAAAATTGAGGGCTTCCTGACCCTGCTTCCCGCCACCACCATCATTGCCCCTGTCGGGGGGCCACTGCCATCTCAGCGGACATGAGGGGCGGGGGCGCGGACGACGCTCGACAGTGTGGCTCCGCAACCCTTTGGCTTTCTCAGATGGAGCTTGCTGCTGGTGTGCGGTGGTGTGGCTGGGCTTGGGTAGTGGGTTAGGGGGAGATGACGATGCGCATCGACGAGGGGCCGAGTGGCACATGGCGAAATAGCTCGACGTGAACAATTCCCTGGGCACAAACAGGCCGAAGGAGACTGTTAAACCGGTCCCTGTGCGTGCGTGCGTGGTGTGCGCTCACTTGTCCTCGGCTGCTATGGGAGGGAAAAGGTCCGTCCTGCTCTTCTTGTCGCCCGTACTGGCTGCCTCCTTGGCTGCAGCTGCTGGATTGGCACCAGTCATCGGCCGGGGCGGCGAGGTGCCGGCCTTGACGAAGATGTCGTCGTATGTCAGCCCCTCAGTTGGCTGCTGCTGCTGCTGCTGGTGCTGCGTGTGCAGGGGGTGAGAGGTGGCGGGGTCAGGCTTCTGGTGCTTCCCTCCCATGCTCAGCTCCTTCCAGGCCTCCGCGCCCCTATCGACATCCATCAAACACACAGAACATGCCGTATGGTATGCATCATCGAGCCAGCCGTCCACAGGCGCCTCGCCTCCCGTCCGTCCCGTGACAAGCTAAGCCGACCAGTTGTTGTGTCTGGGCATCCCGCCCTTATCGGCGCCCTTCTTCCTGTGCCGCCGTTTTGGGGTGTTCTTGACCACATGGGTGGGGTGGCCGATGGACGCAATGAGCTCTGGCTTGATGGTGACGGGCGGCCGCGAGCCCGACTCGATGTCCCTCAGCCACTGGTCCTTGCTGCTCTCCAGACGCATCATCTGACGCCGAACCGTCGACACATCACGACCTGTGTAGACACACCAGAGCGACCACAAACGAGAGCTGGACGGTTCGCTTGTTCTCCGTCGTGTGAGTGTGGTACCTACCCATTTTCTCGGCAATGTAGTTCCAGTCGCGTCTCTGTATGATGAAGGCCATCATCTTGACGTCGTCCTGGTCGGTCCAGCTGGGGTCTCTGTCCTCCTCTACTCTCTCCTCTCTCTTCACGACAGCTGTCGGACACGGAGGACCGGCCCCTGTCCACACACACAACCAACACCACATCACACCCCCACACACAGAGATCTCGATAGGAGATGGACCCGTCAGCCATCATCCTCCCTCCCCTCCCTGTTAATCTTGCTCACCGATGGTCGCCGCAGTACCGGCGAGCTGATTCTGCGGGCAGAGAGGCGGACCGACGGACTCAAACAGCTTCTTTGGCTCCTGCTGCTGCTGCTGTTTCTGCTGCTGCTGCTGCTGGGGGTGCTTTTGCTGGGGTTGGGGATCATCTGTGTTGTGTGGGGCGGGTGTGCCGAAGGTCTTGACAGGCTGTGGGAGTGGCGGAGGGGCCATGATCAGCTGAGGGACCTCTTCCGACTTTTTGCGCTTCAGGGCAGCGATCAGCTGAGGGACCTCACCAGACTGACTCCGCTGCAGGAAGTGACACACGACGGCACACACAGTAGTGCGAGAGATAGCCTGCCTGTGTTTGTGCGGTGGTTGGGCCCGCCCCACCTGCAGACGGCTGGATGTCCTGCGGAGACTTCTGTTTCCAGATACTGGCTCGGCAGCATCGCCGTTCGCCTGACATGCCACACCAACACAACACAGACAGACATCAAAAGGGCCAATATCGTGCGACAGAACGGCCGGCTGCCTCACACACGAAGCACGGTGCACAGAGCACCCCTTTGTGAGCCAGCCGCTGTGGTGCGCGTTGCCCTCACCATGCCATGTGTAGGCGGCTCCACCTGGCTCGACGCCATCCGGAGGCGCACACACGTGACGCGATCCGCACCTGAAGACGCACACCGACAGCATGCCCCAGTGCCGAGTATATGGAACAAACACCCCTCTACTTGTGCACATCTGTCCACCGGGACCCTTTCTGTCCATGTTCACGGCAGAAACCACGAGACAACCGTCGCAGTCCGGCCACCCACCTGCGGAGCCGTCTCCGGCGTTGGCACGCTCGGCTGTCTTGCCCAGCTAGGACAGATTCAGACGCAAGAACTGGTGCCCTCTGCTTGCGGTGCGGGGAGGTGCGGCCGCACGGGTGTCTCCCCGACTCGCTCTGCTGCCGTACACTCACCGAGTGCTTTCTACAAAATTAACCGACAGAGGCTGATCCCGAGAGGGAAGTGGACGACCACAAGGCTGCGCTAGCGAAGAGACGTTCTCCGTGCCCATCCTCTTCTCAGCTCGCAGCTGCTGCGAGCTAAGCCGAAAACGCGAAGGCAGAGATGGGGCGAAATGTTGTGATCTGCCACCTGTGGTGCTTCGTCTTGCTGGTATGTGGCCGTGTGTGGGGTGAATCTCCAATATTGACGAACGATGACGACGCTGTGTACACGAAGCTGACGTACACGGAGATCACGGAGGCCTTCGAAGGGCTGGCGGAGAAATACCCCAAGCTGGTCAAGCTGGAGTCAGCTGAAGAAAGATACGGCAAGTACAATGTCAAGACCTCGCAGTGGAAATGCGACGACCTCCCGTGAGTGAGAATGGAGAGAGGATGACAAAGGGAGGGCCCGGTGATGGAGGCAGATGCAGTGTTTGTGCTGGTTTGTGTGTGTGTTGGGCATGCAGGTGTGACATAATGATTGTTCGACTGGGGAATAACGAGACTCTCACGGCCAAGACTCCTGAGGTCACAGACAGACAGAGGCAGAGAGGCATCGACGGCGGCATGAGTGGAGGGAGACCCGCTCCCCGTTGCATTGATTGTGCAGGTGTATGTCAGTGGTGCGCTGCATGGCAATGAAAGACTGGGTACGGTCCGCAGGCAGACAGGCAGGCCGATAACGCGGTGAGTGAGTGATTGTGATGGTGTGTCCACCAGGTCCCCCCGTGTGCACATACCTGGCGGAGTTTCTGTGCGAGCGGTACGGCAAGAATGACAAGGTCACATGGCTGGTGAGTGAGGCCTCTCACACAAGGCAGGCAGCCAGGGAGGGAGGGAGGGAGGCACAAATGGGTGCATGGGCCCCCACCTCAATCTCCATTGGGTTCGCTCGGCGCCGTCTGTCTGCCTTTCCGTGCGAATCTAAGTACGATTGAGAAACAGACACTGTCTCGGTCTGCCACTACTCACGGGGGTGTCCACATCAGTCTAGCGCTAGACACGGCCGCCCACCCAGCTGACCGAGATACATACCATACACACACGTGTTTCCTTCCTGCACGCAATGCCTGGCTCGTTCACCCGTTGTCACACACATGTCTGGCTGGTTGTCTGTCTGTCTGTCTGTCTGTCTGTGTGGTGTGCTGTGCACGTGTGTGTCTTGTTTGTCCAGATGGACAATCGGGTTTTGTGGATGACGCCCATGACCAATCCCATCGGCGTGGCCAACGACCAACGGGTGTGCGTCGCCAGGACAGACAGGAGAATCCCATAGCCAGAGAGAGGGATTTTGGTTGCGCTTGTGTGTGGTGTGTGAAGGAGGAGAACAACATCGACCCGAATCGTGACTTCCCCTACAGGGCACCCCCAGACGCCTGCATGGCCACCATGACGGTGAGCTTGCAAGCACGGAACGGCACCTCAAGCACAAACTCCATCATCGGTCCTCTCTGCCTTGTGTGTGCCAGGCCCGGGCGGTGAATGAGCTCTACCGCGAGCACCTCTTCCGTCTGGGCATCACTTTCCACGGAGGTGAGGTACCCACCACACCACACTAGCTAGCTACCACACGCCACGGTGGAAAGTGTGATGGTCTGTCTGTCTGTCTGTCTGTCAGGCCAGCGTGTGATGGCGTACGAGTGGGGCTCCTTCGACCATCTGGAGCGTGACCCATCGGCTCCCTCGGGGTACAGTTCCACCGAGCCGCCCGACGAGCAGACTCAGGTGGCCATCGGCAAGGCCATGCAGGCCGCAGCGGGCAGGGAGAAGAATGGCGACTTCTGGTACCCGCTCGGGGCCATGACCGACCTTGTCTACGCTGTCGACGGAGGTACACACAGAGGTGGTTGGCTGACGCGGGAGGCTGTCATTTGTGTTGGGTGTTGTGTGTTGGCAGGGATGGAGGATTGGTCATACGCTGCCAGCTGGAAGCCATCAGGGGACCCTATCACGGTAGGTGCACGAGATGACACACACACGGCATGGGACTCTCGGCGGTCCGAGTGAGTGAGTGAGTTGTGCTGTGTGTGTGTGTGTGTGAGCAGGTATGCGATCCATCGGCGAATGGTGGGTACGACAAGGAGCGGACAAAGTACAACGAACACATGGTTCGGTAAGTAAGCCATCCAACCTGCCAGCCACAGGCACAGCGCACAGAGAGACAGGCACCCCACCCTGTAGGTAGAGTAGAGCGGTCACTGGGCGGGCGGTCAGTCGGTCAAGTTGCCATTGACTGATTCCGTCGTTCAGGTGTCTGCTGTTCTTGTTTGAGATGGACAAGAGCAAACATCCGGAAGAGAGCACATACGGTGGGTATGCACACACACACTCAGGCCAGGAAGCCACATACGGAAGCAGAGAGGGTGGGGCGTGCTCATCACTTCCCACAATATGTGTGTGTGTGTGTGTGTGTGTGTGCTGCCCTGGACCGACCGACGGACACTGCAGGCAATCGGGCAGAGGTGGTCAAAGCGTCGGCGTAAGATGACTGACGGCGCACTAAGCCCTTTGTCTTCGTCCGCAAAGCACTTTACTTATCTCTTTCTCTGTTGTCTGTCTTTCATCAGCACTGACGGCCACATTGCCCGGAACATGAGATCGGTCCTCAAACTCATGGGTAAACCCACACACCAAAGCCACACACACACCTCGGTGGCTCTCGTGTGTTTCATTCATCTGACTTGTCAGAGTTGGTAGATCCGTATGTGGTGTTCACCCAGCTGCCCCCCAAGGAGGTGCAGCCCAACGACCCGGCGTCCATTGCCCTCCTGCCCATAGGGTGCGTCAAGGCTACATCACTCAGACTGCGAATGGTCAAGGCACCTTGCCACGAACTCACAGGTAGGTAGAAACAAGAAAGACATACCCGGGCCACAATCATCCACACGCATCCCCCACTCTACCTTCCTCATTGAGGTGTGTGGTGTGTGTCAACCACACAGAGGGAGCATTTATGGGCGAAGGCAGTGACGTCATCGACCTCTCGTCGACCGGCGGCACGTCCAATGCACAGCGGTCCGGAGAGCAGGGCTCCACTGGCGGCACCGGCGGTGCTGCAGATGAGGCGGCTTTGTGGCAGCTGGCCGCTACAGAAGAGGAGACCGACTGCCGCGGGCTTGGTGTGTGGGAGGAGGAGGGCGACAAGGGGGAGGTGGTGTTTGAGTTCACCCTGCCCCAGCAGCTGCAGGCCGGCCAGTACTGCGCCGCCGTACTCGCAGAATTCGACCAGGTGCTTGATTAACATCAGCCACTTCACGTGTGTCTCATGTGTTCTCAGCTCGCTCATCTGCATGTTTGTTGTGTTTGTTTTGCAGGGCTGGGCGAAGCAGGAGGAGCCCGACCCTCCCTTGAAGCCCCAGGCGCACATATCTCAGGCCCGTCTCTACGACAACTACACGGCCGAGAACGCCGGCATCATCATCGAGGGCCACAAGACCTGGCTCTTCCCCAGGGGTACCGCCAGCGAACTCGCCATCCCATCAGTGCCCGGCAACAAAGTCGTCTACGGCTTCTCGCTCACAGTGTCGTTCCTCTCCTCCCGGGCCATCATGGCCGTCTCGTCGGTGGCCCTTCCGCTGATCGGGACGCCCCTATCTGCCGCCGAGCAGGGCAACCCTGTGGACCTCTTCACGGTGACGTTCAACCTGCGCAACGAATCGCGAGTGTCTGATGAGCCGCTGGCTGACACGGGGGGCGCTGCCAAGGGACATGACGCAGTGGATATTCTCATCGCCTCTGTGGTCAGTCAGTGATTGAACAAGGGGGCGTGGGGACAAACAGATAGTCGGATGGTCTCTCTCTCTCTCTCTTTCTCTCTGTGTCTGTGTGTGTGTGTGTGTGCAGCGGCCAGTTGAGCAGGTGTCCCAGGGGCTGTATGTGTTGCGTGTGAGGGAGTATGGCGACCTGCTCAAGCCTGGCAACACCTTTGAGGCGGGAGATGCAAGTATGGAGGGAGGCAACAAGGCAGGCAGATCGGCCGGCCTTCTACATGCATTGACTCTGATTCGTGTTCACCACTCAGAGTTGGAGGAGGGCGTGTTGGCTTCCTTCCAAGTGGGCGAGCCCAAGTCACGCGCCAAACCTCTCGAAAACGCTCACGTCGTCTTCGAGACCAGACACAAGGTGGGCAGACGAACAGCTTACACGCATGCACATGACATCGATGGCACTCATCAATCACATCGCCCCGCCCTCTCTCTCAGATTGATGCATCTCTCGGTGACCTGGTGGGCCGTGGGCTGGCACTCGAAAGATATGCGTCTCTTGAGGAGCAGGAGTACCTCGGCGAAGGCCACGCCGTCGTCCCTCTCCCAATGTCGCCCTCCGCCAGCTCCGACACAGACACAAACAGCACGCAGAGCGCGGTGGTGTTCAGCGACCTCTACCCCACAGCCAACACACCGCCAGCCGACGCATCCTCCCTCATCTGCTACATGCGGGACACCTCACACCAGCTGGTCGTCACGCGGGCCAAGGACCTGAGCCCCTTCAGGGGCTACCTGGTGTATCGCGACGCGAGCAAGGAGAGCGGGTCGGCTGGGAGCGGTCAGGTGCATGTGGATGGGGCCTTGTGTGGGATAGACAGCGGCAAGGGAGCCGAGATGACGGTCAGGAGTGCGTCTGGATGCTGCAAGGCTGTGGAGGTGCAGAGGCCGCTGCCGACCGTCACAAACCCGACCCTCGATAGGGTCATTCCCGTCAAGGCGAGATTCGACCCCAAGGACTGCCATTGCGGGCCAGGTGTGTATCCTATGCGCCTGAAATTGGGAGAATGGCGATAGATGTTCTGATAATTTGCTTCCTTTGTTCTTTTGCCTGCAGGTGATCAGCTGACGCTCAATCACGCCAAAACCCTCTACACGGTCAGCCGGCAGCAGCACCAAGGACACCACACCAGCACTTTCTGCTTACACATCTCTCTCTCTCTCTCTCTCTCATGCAGTGCACTCTGGGGTACCGCGACCCCGAGTCTGACACGAGTCACCTGACGAGCACGGTGTGTCCGGTGGAGGCCCTAGCGCCTCCCTCCTACCGCGAGTTCAACTGGTGGCAGCAGCTCGTCGTCTTTCTCATATTCGTCGTCGCATCGGCCTGCCTCATCACCCCCTGTGTGCTGTGGAGGTACAAAAATGCCGGCGAGCGCAAGGCCACATACCAGTCGTACCGACTCAGCGGGGAGTCACCGGGACCCACCATCGAACTCCCGCCACTCGACAAAAGGGTCCCCAAAGGTGAGAAGCCATGGATGGATGGATGGATGCCACACAGAAAGACACACCTGTACTTACTGTGAATGTTGATCGATCTGTCAGATCTGCGCACTTATGTGGACAAGAGTTCTGAACCCAACGAGCTGCACACGGTGGGCATCCAGCGGGAGTCACACGATGCCGCGCAGCCACGTGCCGAAACCAGGGCAGCACCGGGCTCAAGGTCAGGGCGCGAGAGCGTCCGCAAGGAGGGGGGCCGGAGGGAGACCCGCCGCGATGAGAGTGAGACCCCCGAGAGCCGGGAGAGGGATCGTAGTAGGGCAGAGGGTGTGGGGGAGGGGGGCGGGGGCGACGCTGTGGGGTATGAGGCTCCACCCATGATCAATCTCGAGGAGGAGAAAGACTCGGTGACGCTGCTGTGAGTGATGGGTGGTGGATAGTCGTTGATCCATGTGATAGCCAGGCCGAACAGGCTGAGTGCAGCTGTGCTGTTGATTCATGCGCACGCACCTAATTAAGGGATGCGTGGGCGGGGGCGGGGAGGTCTGTCGTGAATGAAGCCATGACGCCGTTGTCGTCGATTGCTCTGAGGAGAGGTGCGTTTTTACTGTTCTGTCTTGGTGAGTGTGTGTGTGCGCGTGTGTGTTGTCCTTGGTAGCTGACTGCCTGTGAGTGAGAGCAGGCAGGCAGTCGGGCCTCCTGTGAGTGTGTCTTTTGGATTGCGTGTAGAGGTTGGCTGCTGAGAATGTATGTGTCTTGAGACATGTGGAGTGAGACCGATGGATGGATGGATGATGTGATGTCAGCCAAGGACCTTTTTGCCATGTATTCTGTCTGCGGCTGTACAGCTGGATACATGGAAGGCACGAATCTGTCTGTCAACCAACATGCACACACCACCCCCAGGCACATGAGTGCACAACCCAGTCAGTCAGTCAGCCCTTTGTCTGTCTGTCTATCTGTAGCCCTCTCTGCCGGACAGCAGCAGCCCCTCCCCCTTCCCCTCCCCCTTCCCCTCCCCCTTCCCCTCCCCCT